GCTCTGCCTCCAAGGTTAATGGCAGCAATTTTTCCGAATAACAATTGCCGTAAGCCATAAGAGGGGAGAGGTGTTACGCTCAGGTTCTGCTTAAGTTATTATTATTTATTGAATTTATATACCGCCCTATACCTAGAGGTCTCAGAGCGGTTCACAGTGCAAATGAACCACAGGCATCAGTTTCTGCAGGCAACAGATTGTTCCGCCATGATAACAGGATCCTAGACTAGATGGGCCACTGGCCTGATCCAGCAGGCTCTTCCTACGTTCTTAGGGTTTGGAGAAGGGGGCGTGGCTTAGTGGGTAGAGTATCTGCATACAGATTGTTCCAGGTTCAGCCCCCCAAGTAGGGCTGGGAGAGAGACCCGCTTTCAAAACCCTGGAGAGCTGCTGCCTCTCAGTGCAAACAGTACTGCACTAGGTGGACTGATGGATCTAACTGAGTATGAGGCAGTTTCTTACTTAAGTCACCCCTTTATTTTGTATCATGGGGTCTGGAAACTTGTATTATTTTGGAGGAAGGCCCATTCATTTCTATGGATTGCATTCAACTACATCCTCCTCACAGTAGACAAATGGGCCTAAAGTAGTCATGGCCATTAACTTCAATGGGTCACCTCCAGCATTGAATACCACCCTATGATCTTTCCAGATTGGGGCTTATTATGGGGTCAGTGCTTCTCATCACAGAAATTATTCACCACCCTGTAGTTTGTCTACCCCGCTCCTCTCTGTTAACTTTCCTGATGGGGGAATGCAACAAATGAAAGAACACCAGCACGACCACCATGTTTTTCACAGAGCAGACCCAATGAAAGTAGCATATGTAGCTTAGTCATGTCCATTAACTTCAGTGGTTCTACTCTGAGACTGTGTACATTCCCTTTAAAGCATACTCAGAGCATACCTCCCCTCAAATCCTGGGAACTGCAATTCGTTGAGGGTGTTGGAATGGTAGCTCTCTCTCTTGAGGCACAAACTGCAGTCCCCAGGATTTTGGGGGCCAGGAATGTGCTTTAAAGGTAAGATGTCTATGCAGCTTGTATGACTCCCCAAAACTGCATCCTACAACTCGTTTGCAAGATTGTGACAACCTATTTGCTGTATTAAAAAATAGCCACAACCACCCCTAGTCTGCAAGCACCTTTGGATTGGCTTCATGGGATTTTTTTGAGGGGAGGGGGGTGAATCAAAATACTGAAAGCGAGGAGAGCAGGCTAGTTTCTCACAAAACAAATTACAGTAAGAATATGGCCTATGTATTTTGCCTCATATCTCAGCTTCTATAAATCCTGTAAATTTTCACTCTCTATATATATGAAATATGGGGATGGAGGTTCATTGCAGGTGCGGAAAATGCTCCCTTTGCCTTACCTTGTCTGAGGCCTAACCTCTTGGTTAGACACACTTTGGTTTGAACCCTCAGCTGTGATTTTTTTTAAGACTCATTTACTGGGGAGGACTCAGTGGGCTTATCTGGGTGTGCACAGGAATTTTTCCAGGGATGGGGTGGAGTGGTTAGAGTACTGGATATCAGGATTCAAACCCCCACTAGGCCATGAAGCTCACTTGGTGAGACCTTGGGCAGAGCCATAGATAAGGTGATCTTGCGCCCCTGGCAGAAACATCCAGATTGCGCCCCCTAGCTACGGACAAATTAGCTCTTCTTTCTGCCTCTCCTCCAACCCCCTCCCCTCCACCCCTCCACCCATTCAATTCACCCTCTATTTAAAACCATTTCTTATGAGGCAATAATCGATATTTATGGACATATTTTTAGCTGATTTTGTGCCCCCCAATCACCTGCCCCTGGCGGGGGTCCACCTTACTACCCCCTAGCTACGGCCCTGACCTTCAGCCATTTTTCATGCTAACCTACCACACAGGGTGATTGTGGGAATTAAATCCGGGCGAGAACCACATATGCCACAATGAGCGCCTTGGGAGAAGAAGGAAGGGATATACATTCTGTAAATAAAATAAAACAACACATACATTAAATAATAAATAAATGTAAACTATGGAAAGGGCTAATTTCTCTCACAACAAATGAGATTGCTGCCTGCACATTTTGCCTCATACCTCAGCTTCTACAAATGCTAGAAACTTACCTCTTTAAAAAAGGAGAGGGGAGCTGGGGTTTATGGTTTATTTTGGTGGGGGGGACTGCTCCCTCCCACCCTCTCCTTGAAACTCACACATGTGGGGTGTGCGAGCCACATTGGGGTGTGTGGAAGAACATTTCCAGAAGAGTCATGAAAATTTTCGAAAGAGAAAGAAACAAAGTTGTGTGCTTTTCTGTCCAAAAAAAAAAACACCAAACGCACACACACAGCCTGAGGTTGCAGGCTTGGAAAAGAGCTGGCTTCACAGGGACTCTTGGCTGAGGTTCAGCCGAGCCATCCCGGGAGGACATTCCTTTCCACTGAACACGGCTGTTCCCCTCTCTCTGCCTCTTCCCTCCCTTGCAGAAAACCTTCCCAAACTGAGCAGGCTTGGCTCCCTCCATCGCAGTCCAGCTGCTTGCCTCCCACACCTCCAAAAGCTTGCCCCGGCTTCATCTGCAGAACAGTACACTAGATTTAAAAGCCCTGCTTGGCTTCTGGTCAAGAAGTGGTTGAGTCCCTTTGTGCTGGGGCTCTAGAAGGGACTCTACCACTTGGAGCTTGCTGGAGGAAGGTTCACCTTTATAAACACCCCCCCACACACACATTCATTTTAATTTTTTTATTTATTTCACAAATTTTATATACCACTTGATGGTAGAAAACAAACAATAATCTTTTGAAAGCTAGTTTGGTGTGGTGGTTAGAGCACCAGGCTAGGACTTGGGAGATACGAGAGTTTGAATCGCCTCGCTTGGTTACGAAGGTCAGTGGGGGTCATTCGCGCACTCTCAGCCTAACCTACTTTGCTGGGTTGCTGTGGGGATTAAATGAGGAGGAGGAGAGTCTCTGGAGCTCCATAGAGGGGAGGGGGATATAAATTCAATAAATAAATGCCTCAAAACAGTTTACAAAAAGAATAAAACAACAGAATTATTTAGTAAAAACAATTAAAACCAGTCATGAACTAAATACACACCAGCATTCTAAATATCTGAGTAGGCAGCAATGACTGTAAATCACACCAACTCACTGCAAATAGAAAGCTAGCAGGAAAGGGAATAAGATAGGGTCCACATCACTCTTCAACTCCTGGGCCAGGACCTCAATACAGCCTGATTGAAGTGAGTGGCAATGATTTTAAAAGTATGGAAATCTCTCACACAGGAGACAATTATGGCCCCCAGCCTGGATGGCTTTAAAAGTGGATTGGCTGATAGCTGCTAGCCGCAATGTCAACACTCTACTTCCATGGTTGGAAACAGCAATGTTTTTGAATACTAGTTGCTGGAAACTACAAGAGGGGAGAGTGCTCTTGTGCTTGCAGGTTTCCCACCAAAATAGGCCCCCTTTGGCCTGATCCAGCAACCATTCTCTTCTTATGATCTTACATTGCAATTGAATATGGATCCTGTATTTGAAATGATTGAAGAATACAGGGTTGGAGAATCTTCCTGCCTTTCTGACATGTGCTAGCTTTCTACTAGCAGGGAGTTTTGTTGTTTGTTTGGGTCCAAGAGGGAACATTAAAAATTGTCGTCATCCCCACCAGCTAGAAAGGGTATAGTCTACCTAATCATTTAGGTATCTACCAATAACCTCATCCTACTGGATGTGCAGTGCAGGCTTAAGAAGTCTGCAGTCATAATAGCTGCGGAGGCTAATCTGTGATCCTCCAGCCCTCATCACCCCTGGCTGGGGATGCTGGCAGTTGGAGCCCCAAAATACCTGTAGGCCAAAGGATAGCTACCCATCACCTAGATGCTTAGTTGGGATAAACCCCATTGGGCTTTCTTATAAGAAACCATGCATGGGATTGTATTGAGGTGGCAAACTGGCCAAAAGGGGGCATTATTCACCCCCTTCTTCAGCCAAAGGTTTCCACTTACAGATCAGGGGAAAGAACAAGCATGCAATCTTAAAAGACAAGGCACAAAGGGAAAAGAGATTTAGGAGGGAGGAGGAACTAAGCAAACTTGGACACAAGTTATTAGCTACAAGTTCTTGTAATGGCCAGCAGGGGTGAGGAAGTTTAAGGAGAGGAGCACCTATCAGCTGCTCTGAAAGAGAGGGACAACAATACGCATTTTTCTCTTCCTTGCTTTGCTGTAGCCTCATGAAACGGCTGGCAGACATTCAGCTGAACAGATTTTGGAAGGGTGCAAGCACAGAGACAGCTTCAGCTTTATAGGAACATCATGCAACTTCCCTCTCCCAATCTTGGGTTGCCAAACTTCCTAGACCCCTTTGGGCGCATCTGGGTTTTGGACTGAGAGCCAGAGTGCCACCCCTTGTGGTCCTGCTCTTCTGATCAGCCACAGTGAGAGAAAAATGATTTACCTTTACTTGATTGTAGTAAAGCCTCTAAGCACATTACGATAAATATTAAAATTATCTATCAAAAGTGGTTAAAAATAATTTAGACATTTAGAAATAATCAAAACCAACCGTTAAAAAGATTAAAACTTGTCAACATCTTTCAGCTTGGCAGCACCTATACTTTGGAACTCCCTGCCTATTGATACTAGGCAGGTACCTTCACAGTACTCTTTTCAGCACCTGCTAAGAACATTTTTGGTTAGGCAAGCCTGCCCAGGGGCTTAGAAAGTTGATGTGAGTTTAAATCTGCTTCTAGTCTCTTGCTACTTTAACTTTTTGAATTTAAAACATTTTGCTTATTCATTTTCCTTATTTGTAATTTTATTGCTTTATGTTTTTTGCAAGCCGCTTTGAGGGTTTTGATTTTTGGGTGGGTTGTTGTTGTTGTTGTTTTTACAATCCAGCAATGTGTTTATACATTTTATGAAATACATAAATAAAATAAATAACATCAACAGTGAGTGTAGCTGCCTAATGTCAACAAGCACTGAGTTTCAAAGAATAGGTGCTGCCGGACCAAATTCTCCCCTCTTTCTCTCTCCAGGTTCATTTCAGCTTAGTACACCTGGAAGAATGATCTGCAGGTGGCTGGTTCAAGACCTGTTGGTACTCAAGGCAGAAAATCCAAATGGCAGTTTCCTCCCTGCACAGAAATTAACAGGTGGTATGATCCACCAGGAAGTTATCCTCCACAGCACGTGTGATGAAGCAGAGATAGGCAGGAATGATGGGCTGCCACTTACCGGTATTTTGCAACAGGTACCATGCTATCTCTGTATCCCCACTGCCGCTTTTATTTTTATCCTTACCTGAAGCTTTGTTGCCCATCAGAAGAATCAGGCACAGTATAAGGCATCGGGGCAGGTTATGAAGAGGGGGCCCAGTGGCAGTGTGTGCGAGGACCATCAAATATGCCAGTTTTGCTTCTCATTTTTCCTTTCTTAAATTCTGTTCTCCTCATTTCCATGTCAGTTTGCAATTTCTCTCTAAGCCCATGTGAAAAATTTTCAGCATTTCAGTGTGAATTTCTCCTAATATAAACATCTTTGTATGGCGTTTTTGGCTAATAGGCACATTTCCCCCTCAATGCTGATTTTCCATAACACAAGAAGAGCGCTTCTGAATCAGGCCAAAGGCCCATCTAGCCCAACATCCTGTTCCCACAGTGGCCAGTCAGAAGCATCTTCTGGGAATTCAGGGAGTTCAAGGCTACCAGTGGCTGCTCACCAGGATGGCTATGCTTTGCCTCCACAGCTGGAGGCAGCAACACTTCTGAATACAATTTTCCTGGAAACCACAGGAACGGAGAGTTGCTCTTGTGCTCAAATCCTGCTAGTGAATTTCCCTTTGGGGCATCTGGTTGGCCACTGTGAAAAGAGGATTCTGCACTAGATGGACTAGTGGTTCTTACATTATTACAAGCAAATTTCTCCCATCTATTCCATCCCCCTATTTCCCCCATGGTCCCGTCTGCTTTCTGTCTTCTTCCTTCTGGATTCCAGTTCAGCTAGGAGAATTTCTTAAAATGATTTCCAGAATTAGGGCACGGGCGTTCTGCCTCATCTTTCTGTTCCATCTGTTCATTTGCATCTTCTTCTTTTTTTAAATCCTCTGGGTTACCAAAGCATGCGTGCGCATTGATACCACACTGGAAGGGGGAAAGGAAGGCGGTCTTGATGTGATTTTATTGCACACAGGGCTGCTTTCAGACTCTTTCCTGCCTTTGTTTTTATAGGGTTTCAGGAAGGCATGCCTGGTCTCCTGCATGTTGGTAAAGAGCATGAGTAAAAGAGGCAGAGGGAAGGGACTCTAACCTGTACAGTACTCTGTACAAGATTCAGAATATTTGAAAATGAAATAACATAGGTTACCTAATGCAGGGCTGGGTAGACATCAGGTCTACCCAGGATTCCCTGTTATGATGTCCACATCATAAAACACATATAAATCACATGGACCCCACCCCCACAAAAAAGGAATATTGGGAACTGTAGTTTACCACTCTGACAGTGCTACAATTCCCAGCACCCTTAACAGACTACAGGATTCTTTGAGGGAAATTTTATTTATTTATTTTCCTATTTATTTCGTAAAATTTATACACCATTTGGTTTTTTTTAAAGCATCCTCAAAGCAGTTTACAAAATATATATAGCAATAAAAGTATCAATATGAAAAAATTTAAACAACGATTTAATACTTTCAAAAAGTTAAAATAACAGTAGGTTAAAAACAGATTGAAACTCGTATCAGCTTTCTAAACATCTGGGCAGGCTAGCCTAAACAGGCGCTGAAAAGAGTATAGTGAAGGCACTTGCCTGGTGTCAACAGGCAGGGAGTTCCAAAGTGCAGGAGCTGCCGCACCAAAATATCAGTTTCTGACAAATTTAAAACTCCAAAGTTGAGGTTTGAGGTTTCACATTTTCCTCATGATAAACGAGTGACAAAGAACAGCCCTGGGCTCATTTGGGAGGAAGGGCGGGATATACATTTGAAAAGATGGCTGTAGCTCAGTGGTAGGACATCTGCTTTGCATGCAGAAGGTCCCATGTTTAATCCCAGATGGCATCTTCATGTAAGTCTGGGAGAAAACATTGTCTGAATGTCCAAAGAGCTGTTGCCAGTCAGAGTAGACAATATTGAGCTAGATAGACCAATCTCTGAATCAGCAAAGGACAGCTCCTTATTTAAATCATGCTTTTATTTAGAAACGATGAGGACTAGAATCTTATTTTATTTTGGAGGAGGGGCCATAGTTCTGTCTCTGAAACCCCAGAGAACCACTGTCAGTCAGTGTAGAGAATAGTGAGCTAGATGGACCAGTGGTCTGACTCAGGATAATGTGACTTCCTCTGTTTCTATTTAATACAGTATTTTATTCAGAAACATGAGGACTAGAATCTTATTTCAGTTTTAGAGGAAAGGGTGAATGTCAGTCGTAGAGCATCTGTCTTGCATGATGAAGGTCCAAGGTTCCATCCCCAGTGACATCTCCCAAGTAGGGCAGGTCTGAAACCCTGGAGAGCTGCTGCCAGCCAGTTTGAACAATACCAAGCTGACATCACAGTTTAAGAAGTATATTCACAAGCTGGAATGTGTGCAGCCAAGATGATAAAGGGTCTGGAAACCAAGCCTTATGAGGAATGGTAGAAGGATTTGGGCGTGTTTAGCCAAGAGAAGAGAAGAAGAGTTTGGATTTGCTATCCCACTTTATCACTGCCCTAAGGAGTCTCAAAGCAGCTAACATTCTCCCTTCCCTTCCTCCCCCACAACAAACACTCTGTGAGGTGAGTGGGGCTGAGAGACTTCAGAGAAGTGTGACTGGCCCAAGGTCACCCAGCAGCTGCATGTGGAGGAGCAGGGAAGCGAACCCGGTTCACCAGATTACGAGTCCACCATTCTTAACCACACTGAAGGCTTAGAGGTGCCATCATAACCAACTTCAAGTAACTGAAGAGCTCCCACATGGAAGATGGAGCAAGCTTGTTTTCTGCTGCTCCAGATGGTAGGACCCAAACCAATGGATTCAAATGACAGGAAAGGAGATTCTGACTAAGCTGTAAGTGCCTTTTGACTGTTGAATGGGCTCCCTCAGAAAGTGGCAGGCTCTGCTTCATTGGCGGGGCTATTGGCATGTTCTTTTTCTTACTTTTAAGGTATTTTGTGCTTTTTATTATCTTGTATTTTTATGTTTTGAACCATCCTGGAATCTATGGATGAAGGGCAGTATACAAATTTAATAAATAATAAAATAAAAGTAAGTAGAGGTTGAATAGCCGTCTGTCATGGATTTTTTATCTATGATTCCAACATCGCAGGAGGGTTGGACAGGATGACCCTTAAGGTCCTTTCCCACTGTACAATTCTATGATTTTATGTGTCAGGGAATCAGTGCAGATAGAATAGCAGTCTGAGCCGATACACAACACCTCCCTGTTCCCGGGATATAAACTACCACAAGCGGCTTCCTCTTGAACTGCTCCCTATCACTGCACTTCTCCTGTAAGGCACATCCTCAGGGGAACCGTAGATTGAATCCAGCGCTCTCTATTCATAGGAGCTTGGAGATTCTCCACGCAGGGCCTCCGTGGCAGATGAGTGAGGGGTTGCTTGCCACACAGATTGTTGCAATCGGATTCCCCTGGTGGTGGGTCAGTAATTTTGAAGAACTTTGCTCTGACACATCGCAGGGAAGTGGTAAGGTCTCCCAGCACAGCCTCTCCTGGCTCAAAGGCCAGCTTTCACGTAGGACTGTTCTGTTTTGTTTTAGAGGAAGGTGGCAACGATCTCTCTTCCTCGCACCAGCTCACCATTTGTCTGACTACAGACATCAAAACATTTAAACAGAAGGCTGGTCTGCTCCAAGAAGAGACCAGGCAGCATTCGTTTCACCAAGACTTGTTGTGGGATCAAACCTTCTCAAAAAATTTGCCATGATAGGTCCTGCCATGTTTCCATTGAAAATACCATAATGCTAGAAAAATGCAACCTGTGTTGCTGTTAGAAGTAGTACGATTCATGCAACATGTTGGCAATTAATATACACACAATAATGACCAAAATAATTATGCATTCTTTATTAATCTTCTGAGAAAAATACACAAACTTATGCAAAGCCACAGAGACTTGCGAACTACCCAACCTGAGATGAACTTAAATTGTCTGATTTCAATGGATTTTTCAAGTGCTTAACTCAGTCTTTTGTTTTCTTTATCTTTTTAGGTAAGTTCATTAAGATACCAACAAAAGATAAGATCGATGTTGTTCACAATACCGAGAGATGCTAGTGAAGTTGTAGATGTATGTTAATAAAGTTGTTTCGCCCTGGCAGTCCAAGTAATAAAGATCTTAAACCAAGAAATAGTATTCTCTATGAAATTGAATATCAATATACATCTCAAGGCTTTGAGATTAGGCCACTGAAGAAGCCCGGAAAACTACCTTGGGAGTGCAAGTGCTACCTGCAATCCCCAGTAAAAGGACCCCATTGGGCAAACAGCAGCCTCTTGCTTACTTTTCTGTATATTAGTCGCCAACATGTTGCATGAATCGTACTCCATGTTTCCATTGAAAGCATGGAAGTAGCCCTGTGGTTTTAATTTCCAGAGTGGACAACTGTGCTGGTCTGTTGCAATGCAGAGAAGCTTGAAAATTACTATGTTCATTGGGGCATAAGTCAATTTACTCTTTCTTGGGAAAAGTTTTGGTTAGTTCAATAGTAGGGTATTTACTCTGCATGCAGGAGGTCTCAGGTTCAACCTGTAGGTTCTCCTGGTAGGGCAGGGAATATCCCCTACTCTAAACCCCCTAGAAATCTGCTGTTAGTCCATGTAGGACCGCTAGTCTGACTTTGCAGTATACAGTAGCTTCCCATGTTCTTGTTTAAATTGGCCTTAAATTCAGAACAAAGAGAACTGGAATCTTACTTCATTCATAGGGGAAGGGTTGTCGCTCCTTGGCAGAGTGCCGCCTGCCTTGCATGTGGAATGTGAACTCTTTATTAGTTGCCGGGTCTTTATGTCCTGCACAGCCAGAAACATGCCAAAGTACAGTTTTCACATTTTGCACTTGCCATTTGAGGAGAGGATACTTTAATACCCACCTTCAGTTATTGTGTGGTAGCATCTGCAGAAATGCTAGGGAGTACCTGATCTCAGACGAACCCGTGTCAGGAAAGAAGCCTCCTGGGTGCTAGGGGAAAAGGGCAAACTGCAGAGGTTCCAAAGACTACTAGAAAATAAGACAGAAGCAATACTGAAGAGGAGGAGAGAAAAAAGCACTTTAGAACTCCTGGATTCCTATTGCCTGATGTGCAAATTACTCACTTATTAATCACAGCTCATTGGCGAATAACTGTGACACATGGAAGCAGGTCGGCTCATTTCACAAAAGTCACTTAGGAGCACAGTGTTGGTTTTTTGTTCTGTATTTGGTTTAAAAGTATAAAATAAAATAAATGTATAAAATAAAATAAAATAAAAAGGAGTGTTACCTGGATTCCTAGATCCAGTTTTAGGGCAAGTACTCTTTGGTGAGAGAGCCCCAACCGAGATTTAAAATCGCAAAATATGCAGCTGAGTAAAATGCAGAAATATAGGCTGTTATACCTTTAAAATATCTTTTTCTAAGTTGCTTACAAAGTTCCCCTCTTCCCTTAGCATAGAAAGAGACCACACATTTGGTTTAAAATGGTTTACTTAAACTTCAAAGGTCATGTGCTTTTCCATGCAGCAGCAAGAAAAGTCAAGCAGTATAACTTAGGTTTTTCCAAAATGATAAAATCAGGGGCGCCGACTTGCCCCCCACATTGCAGGGGTGCATCATGTGATGCGTTATGTTACATATCATGTGATTTGTCTCCTCCACACCTAGCACATGAGCTGGAATATGTGGGTGTTCGGCTGCTGTGATGCTGGCGCTTGTGTGCTGGGTGGGGAATGGAGAACATGCAGCTGGGCTCCACGTTTGGTCTCCTCCTCCCTGTGTGACATTGGGCGGGGAGGAGGAGGCATAGCAGGCTACTGGATTTGGGGAGAGCCCAGCCCCCACCCTGAAAAATGGGGGAGGGAGGCTGAAGACCCCTCAGTCCCCACCACTTGGCACACCTGGATAAAATGTTTCTAAATTATTTGTATAGAAGCACAAAGATGGCTTGCTTAAGCCACATGGTGTAACCTTGGAGCATGCAGCTTAGGCCTCACATGGTAGAAGTGAGAGAAAAAGGTTTGGTAACCCTTCCTCCCAAGGTAAGAGGGAGAGACCTAGCAAATTCCGTCAGGACAGCTTACTCTATGGTCTTAACCCCTTCGTGCATTAGAGTGAAGCATATTGGTTATATGAAGCAGGATATCCTACCCATACTGGCACATTCTGAATCATCATTGAATTGTAGAATTGGAAGTGACCTCGAAGATAATCCAACTCCCTGCAATGCAGGAATCACAACTAAAGAATCCCTGGCAGGTGGCCATCCAACCTCTGCTTAAAAACCTCCAACAAAGGAGAGCCCAACCACCTTCTGAGGGAGTCCATTGTCAAACAGCTCTTACCATCAGAATCCATTGGTTCAGGTCTTGCCCTCTGGAGCAGCAGAAAACAAGCTTGCTCCTTCTTCCATGTGCCCTTCATTTATTTGAAGATGACTGCCATATCACCTCTCGGTCTTCTCTTCTCCAGGCTAAAGATACCCAGCTCCTTCAACCATTCCTTACAAGGCTTGATTTCCAGTCCCCTTATCATCTTGGTTGTCCTCCTCTGCACATGTTCCAGCCTGTCAGAACTGGACACAGGACTCAACTGTAGTCTGACCAAGGCAGAATAGAGCAGTACAGTGGTGCCTCGCAAGACGAAATTAATCCGTTCCGCAAGTCTCTTCGTCTTGCGGTTTTTTCGTCTTGCGAAGCACAGCTATTAGCGGCTTAGCGGCTATTAACGGCTTAGCGGCTATTAACGGCTTAGCGGCTTTAAGAAAAAGGAAACAAACTTGCAAGAACTCGCAAGACGTTTCGTCTTGCGAAGCAAGCCCATAGGGAAATTCGTCTTGCGGAACGACTCAAAAAACGGAAAACTCTTTCGTCTAGCGAGTTTTTCGTCTTGCGAGGCATTCGTCTTGCGGGGCACCACTGTACTATGACTTCCCTTGAGTTGCTTCCTAGTTTTCTTTTGGGGGTGGAGGGGGTGGGTGGGTTTAAGAGGCTTGCTTAAAAAAGAAATAAAAACCTTCTGCCTGGGCAAACAAATTGGATGCCTTAATGGGTGCAGGGTTGGTGACCCCTGAATAAACCTAAATAAAAAATAAATATATATAGTAAGAATCCTGGGATAAGACTCATCCATGTGTTCTTGTTGATCATCAAATTTCTTGGTAAAACTGACAAAGAATTAAAAGCCAGTCATAAACCCCACAAAACCTAACTCTCAAACCATATTAATCTATACAGCAAACAGGGAGAGCTGAGTCCAACTAAATTCTACACAGAGTAGATCCATTGAATTAATGACAATTCTCAGAGCGGCTTAACAATCAATCCCAGGAAACTCTGAGGGGAATGAAGTGTGGGGTGGGTGGGTGTCTCCTAACAACTTTCAGCATCCTTGGCAAACCACATTTCCCAGGATTCTTTGGGGGAAGCCGCAATTATTTAAAATGGCAGAAAACTGCTTTAAATGTATACTACAGATGAGGCAGTGATGGCCACCAACTTGGATGGTTTTAAAAGAGGATTAGACAAATTTGTGGAGGAGAGGGCTATTGATGGCTACTAGCCACAAGGGCTATGCTGTGCCTCCACTATGGAGGCGATTAATAATTCTGAATACAAGTTACTGGAAACTTTGGGTTTGGGTCCTTCCTGTGGGCTTCTCATTGGGGCACCTGGTTGGCCACTATGAGAAGAGAATGCTGAACTAGATGGACCACTGGACTGATCCAGCAGTTCATCTCACGTTCCTAATAAAACAGATGTTTGGAGTGGTCAAAATCTTGTGTGACACCTTGTGGCCTAGCCACAACCTGTCTGTTATCCTTAGAATACCCACAGTGTTCTTCTTTGATGAAACCAGAGACACTGGCAGCACCTTTATAGTCAAAGCAATGCTGTTGGTCCTTGCTGGGAGAGCGTTGGCTCAGTGCGAAGGCACAAACAGTCTTAGCACATGATTTGCTAATGCTCCACTCCTAGGTCCTGGAGAACAAGAGCAAGAATGGAGGGAGGGTTGGTGGGGGAACTCTCTCCACCCCACAGCCTGCCTCACCTTTTCATATTCTAATGGCCCTCTGCATGCGCCTCCCCCCCCCCATCCTTGATTTGTGAGCTCTCTCTGAGACTCCTGCTGGGAAATCTCTCCATCAGAGGCACACGCCATCCCTCAGTAAATTACACTGAGATATAATGAAGGAGGAGAAATCAGTGACTTGGTGACGGGGACTCCCCGGGGGACCTTAATTCAAATATTTGCAGAGCTGCTTTCATGGAGGGGGGCATAAGGGGGGAAGAGTGGGGGGTGCCTCCTTGCAGGCCTTTTCAGGTGCTCAGCAGAGGGGAAAAACAGAGGGCAGGATGAGGGGATGGAGAGACATCACAACCCCACAGCAGTGCCTGGGGTACCAACTCCCCCTTGGATCTGGCCTGACTCTCTAGCCCAGGGTGGTCCAACTTGTACCAAGTGGACCGCAAGAGTACTTTGACATGCAATCTGCGGGCTACACATTGCCTAGTGGTAGCACAGGGGAGCAAGGCCAAAATTTAAAGCCTTCCCAGCCCTCACACTGCCCAAAACTAACTCAGCAAGGCACTGGGCTTGGGGAAGGGTCCCAGAGCACTCCCACCTTCCCAAAGTTGGGAAAGTGCTCATTAGGCTTTGGGAAGGAGGAAGGAAGACTCCAGGACCCTGTCTGAGCCCGCATGCTTCCTTCCCAAAGCCCAGTGCCTTGCTTATCTGCCTTGGGGAAGGCAGCATGAGGGCTGCAGGGGGGCATCAAATGTTTCCAAGTGCCACCAAGAAAGGCCTTGTTGGTCACATGTGGCCCTTGGGCTGCATGTTGCAACACCCTGCTCTAGCCATTAAACCACACTGTTTCTTGAGTCCCTGTCAGGGAAAATGGTGGGGTATAAATATAGTAGTAGTAGTAGTACTAATATTGATAAGCTAGCTTACTACATGAAGGGACTTTAAAAAAGAAGAAACTTGCAGGGAAGGTTTGAAATACACGATCCATGCATGTGTGGAGTCTGGTGGCTCAATCTGTAATAGTTCATCTGGCACCTACAAAGAAAAAAAATTAAAATGCCCCAAAAGTGTTAGGAACTTCTGTTTTCTCAAACAACAGAAGCTGAGACGATCAGGCTGCCATGTTTCAAACTAGATCTCCAATCCTGCTTGGTGCAGGGATTTTAAAAAAGATGCTAATGATGCAACAGTTCCATGCTTGCAAAGTCTTTCTCTCTCTCTCTCTCTCTCTCCTGATTTCGTGTCTGTTTTGTCTTCAGCATCCCCCTTCTTCTGAAACCATGCCAGGGATAGCATCTGAATGC